CGTAAAATACCAAATAATATACGGGCCGTTTATTTGTTTCTATCACTTAAGAGACCAGGCTGAACCAGGACTGAACCAGGTCTAAACTAGGTCTAGACCAGAATTAAACCAGGACTAAACCAAGACTGAACCACGACTAAAACAGGACTAAAACAGGGCTAAACCAGGTCTAAACCAGGACTGAGTGTTGGGACAGGCCCGGAGATGCGCCCGTGTAGGGTGATCAGGACTGAGACTGAGACCGGGACCAGACCGGGACCAGGTCTAGGACTGACACCAAGACTGAGACCATTTTAGTCCTTAGCGGTGCAAAAATCCGGCACCGTTTTTTCCATTATTATTATGGTTTTGGAGACAAATAATGAAGAATATCGTTGTTTTTTGTTTTTTTTCTTTTTGGTTTTATTTTGAAAAACGAATCCGCGAACGACACACGGACTGAAACGCGGCAGAACGTTTTCAGTTTGAGACAAGAACTCGGCTTAAATCTGCAAAAACAAAACAAAAAACCCACCTCCAGGTCTTCAGGTTTGTGACACAGATCAGAAAATCCTCTCATATTTTCACAGATTTGCACCTTTAACGCAAATATAAGTCTCTATTTTGCTCGGTAATCAACCTAAAAACCCGGCGTTGTTTCTGTAAATCTAGCGTCGGTAAACTGCAGTGACTTTCCCCCGAGCGCCGAGTCGACCTGCGCTGTTTGTCGGTGAAGGGCCCTTAATGACGCGCACTCGAGGCTCTGAAGGGCCCTACACCGTGTTTGTCCAGAGAGTCGGACACTTAAACACGAGGGCAGAAAGTTCCATGGTGCTTCTGAGCCGCGCTGAGAGCTGCGGCTGACATTAAACAAAAGGAGAAAAAGCCCCGTTTGTGCCGCTTCGGTCCGAGCGGAAAAAAAAAACGAAAATATTAACGACTTTAACGACGGTTGAAAAATCCCACGTTACTCAAAAAACCCCAAAAAACGGACTCTCGTGAGGTTTGAGTCGTGTTCTGGTTTTGCGACGGCCTCGAAAACAAACCTGGAGGCGACAGTGGAGCTCAAAATGCTCCGATGCACCTTGTGATGTCATGAAGAGGTGGTTTTCGAGCTCCTTTTACCTTTTGTTTCAGCTCCTTTTAGTTTTTTTCTTCTCTCCTTTTACCTTTCTTCACCCTTTCTCTTTCTTTACCCTTTTTTCTTTTTCTACCCCTTTTCCTCTTCTATACCTCCTTTTACCTTTTGTTTCAGCTCCTTTTACCTTTTGTTTCAGCTCCTTTTACCTTTTGTTTCAGCTCCTTTTACCTTTTGTTTCAGCACCTTTTACCTTTTGTTTCAGCTCCTTTTACCTTTCTCTACCTATAGCTTTCTCTTCTCTCCTTTTACCTTTCTTCACCCTTTCTCTTCCTCTACCCTTTTTTCTTTTTCTACCTTTTTTCCTCTCCTACATCCTTTTTACCTTTTGTTTCAGCTCCTTTTACCTTTTTACTTCCTAAACCAGGACTAAAACCAAGACTAAACCAGGTCTAAACCAGGTCTAAAACCAAGACTAAACCAGGACTAAACCAGGACTAAACCAAGACTAAACCAAGACTAAACCAGAACTAAACCAGGTCCAAACCAGGTCTAAAACCAGGTCTAAACTAGGACTAAACTAGATCTAAAACCAGATTTAAACCAGGACTAAACCAAGACTAAACCAGGACTAAACCAGGTCCAAACCAGGACTAAAACCAGACTAAACCAGGACTAAACCAGGACTAAACCAAGGACTAAAACCAAGACTAAACCAGGACTAAATCCTGCTGTGTGGACGTGTTTCTTCTTCTTCTATCAATAATATTTTTAATTTGGTTCAGTAAAGTCTGGACTTTTTATTTTCTTTTATCAGACAAAACTTCTTCTGTTACGATTTCCTCGTAATAGTAAGTACGTATAAGTATAAGTAATCCAAAGTAATCAGATTACTTTACTCACTTGAAGTAATTTAATAGATTCTGTTATAAACTACATTCTGGTGTGTGTAATCTGTAATCTGTAGTGAAATACATTTTTAAATTAACCTTCCCGACTCTGCCTGTGCCAAACTCAAACTGTACACGAGCGAAACAAGAAAAGAAAAGGATCAGGCTCCGGCGTTTGCCTAATAACTCCTGACTTTTCTTCATCAAACGGGCGTCTGGCAGCGGGCGCGGGGTTCACGCGGTGCCCGCCTGTGCGCTTGGCTCCGCTCGGGGGTCTAATCCTGCCGCTTTTTGGGGAGTATTTGCCTTGGATTAGCGTTCTCCGGTCGTCTTTGGCTCTCCTCCTCCTCCTCCTCGTCCTCTTCGTCTTCTTCTTCTTTTTCTCTGCGCCGAATCAGCTGAAACACGCCGGCGTCCAAATCCTTCAAATTAAAAACGCAACAATAAAAGTGGCAGCGGAACAAGGTGGGCACGCTCTCTGGACGGGACCCGAGGAGGAGGAGGGAGGACGGAGCCGCCGAAACCGCACAGCTATCTCCAGAGTGCAGCGTGTGTGTGTGTGTGTGTGCGTGTGTGTGTGTGTGTGTGTGTAATCCCGAGCACATGGAAGGTGCTGCCCCTCGCTGGCCGGGGGATTACAGCGCGCCCCTGACTCTCTGCCAGGACACACCGGGGAGGCACCGCACACAAACAAATACACACAAACACACAGAAACACACACAAAAACACACAAACACACACAAAAACACACAAAAACATACAAAAACATAAACAAACACACACAAAAACACACAAAAATACACACAAACTCACACAAAAACATACAAACTCACAGAAACTCACACACACACACACAGAAATACACACAAAAATACACAAAAACATAAACAAACACACACAAACACACACAAAAACACACAAAAACACACACAAACACACACGAACACACAGAAACACACACAAAAACACACAAAAACATATAAAAACATAAACAAACTCACAGAAACTCACACAAACACACACAAAAACACACAGAAACACAAAAACACACAAAAATACACAAAAACATAAACAAACTCACACAAAAACACAAACACACACTGGGCCTCTTGTGTTGACTGTGTGTGAGGTTGTGTTGTGTTTGTGTCGCAACTGACAACTTTGTCGTCAACAGAAAATAACTAAAAGTGGCCAATTTACACTTTTTTCTGATGTTCTAATGTTGTTTTCTAGGGATGTATCGATATCCAAATCTCTCGGTACGATATTTTTTTCTGCGATATAATACACGCATCTCGAATTTCAAACTTCCGGTCATCGCGCAATCCACACTGAGAAGGGTCGTCCGAAAAAGTGAGCATCAAACCTCCATGTTTGATTTCCCAGTGGGATGTGACAAAGTTGATCTTTTCAAGTCTTTTGAAACACTTTAATCCATGTGTCATTCGTTCATTTGTTGTTCAATATAAAACCAAAAATAAGAAAATGAAAAAATAACAGTTTTCTTCATTATTTGTCTCCAAAACCAAAATGAAAAAACAGATAATGATTTGTTTTTTTCAGTTTTCGATTTTGTGTTTAAATGAAAAATGGAAAAAATAGATAAGGACCGTTTCCCGTTTACGTGACTCCCGTGACTGCGATACCGGACTTTTACACCGCGTACGGACTGATCCAGGTCCAGGACCAGACCAGGAGTGAGACCGGGACCAGACCAGGACCAGAGCGGACTCCGAGCTTTGACTCCGAGCCTCTGCAGGGTTCGAACCTCAGCTTTAAGCTCCGGACCTGCCGTGGGCTCTGAGTCTCTGGTCTGGTCCCGGCCTGGTCTCGGTCTCAGTCCTGCTCTGGTCCCGGCCTGGTCTCGGTCTCAGTCCTGCTCTGGTCCCGGCCTGGTCTCGGTCTCAGTCCTGCTCTGGTCCCGGCCTGGTCTCGGTCTCAGTCCTGCTCTGGTCCCGGCCTGGTCTCGGTCTCTGTTGAGTGATCAGCAGAGTGGAGGAAGACGTTGGATGGATCATGGGGAAGTGTCGGTTTAGTTCCGTAGTTGGTTTTTCATTATTAGAACTGGATCTGGTGTTTTTCGCCGGCATAATGGGTGCGATGTTGGTCTTAATTTTCATTTAAGTTGTCTTACAAAGGTCTTAAAAAGTCTTACATTTGGTGTAGTCCAACCTGGGGATACACTGTTCCTCGTCCAAACTTCCTTGTCCATAACTCCTTTGGTCCATACCTCTTTTGGCTAGTACCTCCTTTGGTCCATAACTCCTTAGGTCCATAACTCCTTAGGTCCATCCCTCCTTAGGTCCGTAACTCCTTAGGTCCATAACTCCTTTGGTCCATAACTCCTTTGGTCCGTAACTCCTTAGGTCCATAACTCCTTTGATCCATAACTCCTTAGGTCCGTAACTCCTTAGGTCCGTAACTCCTTGGTCCGTAACTCCTTTGGTCCATAACTCCTTTGGTCCGTAACTCCTTTGGTCCATAACTCCTTTGGTCCGTAACTCCTTAGATCCATAACTCCTTTGTCCGTAACTCCTTTGGTCCGTAACTCCTTTGGTCCATAACTCCTTAGGTCCATAACTCCTTTGGTCCGTAACTCCTTAGGTCCATAACTCCTTTGGTCCATAACTCCTTAGTCCATAACTCCTTTGGTCCATAACTCCTTAGGTCCGTAACTCCTTAGGTCCGTAACTCCTTTGGTCCATAACTCCTTAGGTCCATAACTCCTTAGGTCCATAACTCCTTAGGTCCGTCTCCTTAGGTCCATAACTCCTTAGGTCCATAACTCCTTAGGTCCATAACTCCTTAGGTCCGTAACTCCTTTGGTCCGTAACTCCTTAGGTCCGTAACTCCTTTGGTCCGTAACTCCTTTGGTCCGTAACTCCTTAGGTCCATAACTCCTTAGGTCCATAACTCCTTAGGTGGTCCGTAACTCCTTGGTCCATAACCTTAGGTCCATAACTCCTTAGGTCCATAACTCCTTTGGTCCGTAACTCCTTTGGTCCGTAACTCCTTAGGTTCTGACCTTGTGTGTTTTGTGTTTTGTTTTCAGGGTTGGCTGTGTGAGCTTCTGCGTTGGAAGGAGGACCCGACCCCCGAGAACCGCACGCTGTGGGAGAACATCTCCACCATCCGCCGCTTCCTCAACCTGCCCCAGGGCGAGCGCGACGCCATCTACGAGCAGGAGAGCAGCGCCATGCAGCAGCACCACAGCGAGAGGCCCACGCACCTGCTGCACCTGTCGCAGGACCAGATACAGGTACACACACACACCTGCACCTGCTGCACCTGTCGCAGGACCAGATACAGGTACACACACACACCTGCACCTGCTGCACCTGTCGCAGGACCAGATACAGGTACACACACACACCTGCACCTGCTGCACCTGTCGCAGGACCAGATACAGGTACACACACACCTGCACCTGCTGCACCTGTCGCAGGACCAGATACAGGTACACACACACACCTGCACCTGCTGCACCTGTCGCAGGACCAGATACACATACAGTCAATCAGTCCAGTTTTTTATATATATATATATATATATATATATATATATATATATATATATATATATATATATATATATATATATATATATATATATATACATGTGTGTGGTGTGGGAGTAACAGATTACATGTACTGGAGTTACAGTTACTGTTTCAATGAGTGGTAATTGGATTACAGTTACTTTGTTAAAATAAATAGATTACATGGCGATATTTTCACATTTTGGGTTATATCCCATTTTTTTTTCTTTTTTATTTCAGTTATTTCACTCATTGCCGGAAACCTAAACAGAACACGTGCAATAAGAGCCACATAAACGTCTTGTTGACGTTGGCGGTGTCAGTCGCACAATGGACGATGTCGAGGAGCCAGTAGAACCGAGTCAGCAGAACACGGGCAAAAACACATTTGTGTCTTGGAAATTCTCTTCTCCTGATTTGAGATATAAAAAAATAACAAATATAAAATCGCCTACAAGTTAAATGTCAAACCGGAGCTACTGGTACTGGTGAAAACAACCTGCATAGGCTCATGAAATCTGCAGGAATGTTCATGTAGTTTTAAAAAACACGACAATATCAAGTAATCCAAAGTATTCAGATTACGTTACTCACTTTAAGTAATTTAATGGATTCTGTTACAAGCTACGTTTTGGTGTGTGTAATCTGTAATCTGTAGGGAATACATTTTAAAAGTAACTTTCCCAACTCTGATCGTTTATGATAATATGATATTTTAGATGAATATTGTGATTTAAAATGTCTAAATTATGACTGAATGATCGTCGAGTGTCAGAGTTTATAACCGCAGCTCAAACACAAACACAGCACGTCTGCTTTAAGACTTTAAGGACTTAAGCGAGCGCGGAAACTCCTTCTGAAACCTGCTCTTGACTCGTGGTTCAAAATGGATCACTGAAAGCCCACGGCAAATGGATGTAAACAAAAAAAAAACAAAACAAAACTGCTTTTCAGCGACCGGCGGATCAATACATTAGAGGATTCTTAATCAGAGGAAAAGTTAAAATCTCTCAAGTCTGGAGTCGACGCGCGGAAAAACACACGTCTGAATAAAATAAAAAGACCAAGTATCAGATCGGGTCCCCAAAAATGTTATCAACAATGTTAGCGATGTCAGTCTTTCATTCATTTATTTTTGTTTGAGCAAGTCAACAAAATAACAAAATCAACAACAAAAAAACAAAAAAACAGGGATGTACATGTGCAGATTTGGGACCTGGTGCTCAAAACTGTGCAGCCTCGGGGTCTTAAAAGTCTTAAAAAGGTCTTAAATTTCATTTTCCTAAATTAAGGTCTTAAAAAGTCTTACATTTTGTTGTCCAAGGTCTTAAATTTCATTAGCCTAATTTTTTTTGTAAACTCAACCAGGCTGCAGTGCGACGTTAAACGGAGGAAAACAACAACAACAACAACAACTTGAAATCATGTAACGTAAATGAACGTCTAATTTTGAGTCTGCGCAAACAATACTTTGGTTTCTGGCGCCGACGGCAAAGAGTAAAACAGTCAGTAGAGCGAAGGAAGACGTCGGATGGATCGTGGGGAAGTGTCGGTTTAATCCACAGCGGCTCTTAGATTCTAGATATTGTTCCGTAGTTGGTTGATCATTTTTACCTCCACCAAGGAGGTTATGTTTTTGCCGGCGTTTGTTTGTTTGTTTGTTTGTTTGTTTGTCTGTTAGCAACATAACTCAAAAAGTTATGGACCGATTTTGATGAAATTTTCAGGATTTGTTGGAAATGTGAAAAGGAAGAACTGATTTCATTTTGGGTTTGATCCGGAAGAAATCCTGGATTCTGGATCACTTTGAAATTTTAGTTAACATTGTGGTAAATGGGGCCAAAAATTTAGTTTCTCAATATCTGGGTTAATTATTGACCAAACCCCATGAAATGTGACTCAGGGATGGACAATGGGATCCTCTTTCATATTCCAAAGGCTGATCCGGATCTGGTCCAGAAGACTGATTTTATCTCAATTTATATAAAAAATGGGGGTCGTCCTTGGCGGAGGTCTGCGCTCTCTGACTGCTTTTCTAGTTCGAACTGGATCTGGTGTTTTTCGCCTGCATAATGGGTGCGATGTTGGTCTTAATTTTCATTTAAGTGGTTTTAAAAAGGTCTTTAAAAAGTCTTAAATTTGAGGTAGTCAAACCTGGGAATACTCTGTCAAAAGGAGTAGTCAGGCTCTATTTCATTTCTCTCCAGTGACTAGGAAACACAGCACGTCTGCTTTAAGACGTTAAGGACTTAAGCGAGCGCGGAAACTCGTTCTGAAACCTGCTCTTGACTCGTGGTTCAAAATGGATCGCTAAAAGCCCACGGCAAATGGATGTAAACAACAAAAAAACAAAAAAAACTGCTTTTCAGCGACCGGCGGATCAATACATTAGAGGATTCTTAATCAGAGGAAAAGTTAAAATCTCTCAAGTCTGGAGTCGACGCGCGGAAAAACACACGTCTGAATAAAAAAAAAAAAAACAAAGTGAATAAACAGACCTAATGAAGAGAAGTGCTGATAATTACACTTATAGATGCTGTTTGGCTGCTTTTACATCCTCACTGTAGAATTAACCCCGCGCACATTGTTCCCATAATAACTCCATTAAATCAAACACAGCTGCCTTTGAACAGCCACTGTATACCGAGCTAATATCCTCGCGTTTCTGTACCGGCGAAACCTCAACAAACACAATTTCTTTTATTTCATCTTCATTTCCAGCCAATTATCCTTAAAGCCGACCGGGTGTGTGTTGCTAGTTTAATTACAGACGCACAGCACTTAAAAGTTCCTCTCCGCCGCTCGCTCTTTCTGCTTTTCTTTCACGTCTGAACTTCTCCTCGCCGCCGCCGCCGCCGCGACAGCTGGTGCCCAAACGAGCGCGCACGCCGGACCAACTTGTTCATCAGGCCCAATAATACTTCTATTAAAAGTGCGGGCCACAGCTGAGCGCCATTAGTGATGTGGTTAGCGCGCGATACAGCACAAAGGCGCCCATTTAGGTAGCGTAAATAACCTAACGAGATTTGGGCTACAATCGCGGCCTGTGGAATGAGGGGAGTTTTGGACGCTCTGGTAAACGGATGAAAGGATGTTATTGGTGTTTTAATGCCGCGGATTAGACGTAACCAGATTATGAAGCTGTCACGAAGGTGGGTTTGGATTTTGGGCAAAGCTGGATATAAATACGAGAAGGTGAACGATCGGAAATAAGAGGCTTCAGGATGTTTTTTTTTTTTTAATCCTGCAGGTTTCTGCGGTGGAGTTCAGGCCTGGGACGAAAACAGATTTTGCAGGACGATGAAATGACCAAGAAATGATTGCGATAAATGATGATACTGAAGACCATTTTCAACTAAATAAAATAAAAAAATAAGAATAAAAATGCACATATACCCTTTCAAAGATCAACAAACTTGACTTTCTAAAGAACATTTAACACAGGAAAACAACAGAGCAGGCATGTCCAAACTATGGCCCACCAGGTTTCCAGGTGAATTGGCCCAAATTACCTTGTATCAATTAAAAATGAACTTTTTACTGCAAGTTTTTTGGAAAATCTACCTGGATAAAGTTGATATTGAATATTTAGTGTGTGGTTTTAAGGATTTTAGCGTGAATAAAGACTGATGGTTCATTCTAACGTGTTAAACCTGCACATATTTCATTTATTCACTGTTTTGAAGCTCTCTTCTATATTTAAAGTCCAAACAGGCGACTTATAGATCCTTTTATGACAATTGTAGGGAGTATTATCTGTTACATAAGGGCGAGTTGTTGTACAGTTGTAGGGAGTATTATCTATTACATAAAGGCGAGTTGCACGGTTGTAGGGAGTATTATCTGTTACATAAGGGCAAATTGTTGTACAGTTGTAGGGAGTATTATCTGTTACATAACGAGTGTTGCACAGTTGTAGGGAGTATTATCTGTTACATAAGAGTTGTTGTAGGGAGTATATCTGTTACATAAGGGCAGTTGTACAGTTGTAGGAGTATTATCTGTTACATAAAGGCGAGTTGTTGTTTGTAGGGAGTATTGTTACATAAGGGCAGTTGTACAGTTGTAGGAGTATTATCTGTTACAGGCGAGTTGCACAGTTGTAGGGAGTATTATCTGTTACATAAGGGCGAGTTGTACAGTTGTAGGGAGTATTATCTGTTACATAAGGGCGAGTTGTACAGTTGTAGGGAGTATTATCTGTTACATAAAGGCGAGTTGCACAGTTGTAGGGAGTATTATCTGTTACATAAGGGTGAGTTGCACAGTTGTAGGGAGTATTATCTGTTACATAAGGCGAGTTGCACAGTTGTAGGGAGTATTATCTGTTACATAAGGCTGAGTTGCACAGTTGTAGGGAGTATTATCTGTTACATAAGGCTGAGTTGTTGTACAGTTGTAGGGAGTATTATCTGTTACATAAAGGCGAGTTGCACAGTTGTAGGGAGTATTATCTGTTACATAAGGCTGAGTTGTACAGTTGTAGGGAGTATTATCTGTTACATAAGGTGAGTTGCACAGTTGTAGGGAGTATTATCTGTTACGGTTTCCCTGGTTTCGTATGAGGCCGACTTGAATCTATAATCTTCCAAAACACATTTATAACATGAACCTAAACCCGTCGGCGGAGTCACTACAGCCTCGTTCTGCCGCTGCGCCCACTCCATTATGAAACAGCCATTGTTACGGCGTGAGTCAGTCAGGGGCGAGGAGAGCGGGAGAGCGGCCATTTTTGCGAGGTCAGGGGGCCCCCGTGGAGTCCCACTCGGGCCCCTGCATTCACAGCGAGACAAACGTTAAGTGCTGTTTAGACTAGCGCGGCCCGAGATAGGATTTTAAAACCCGCCGTCCAATCAGAGGCCACATCCAGAGCGGGAGCCGGGACGTGTTCGGCGTGTTTACGAGGGAACGGGGGGGGGCGGGACTTTTCACACGGCGCTGGAGATGCAATGAAAGCGCCGTGATAAGTGGCCCCTGATAACAAACCGGGCTTTATGGCTCTGCGGACTTGTGTATTGTTTAACGCGCTCCACTTAGAGCCCGACAGTAGTTTTTCATAGGTTTTCTATTGAATTTGTTATGGGAATATCGCGCGTGCGGAATGCGAGTGACGTAACGCACAGATCTGTATCTGTGACATTGTGGAGCTCGGGTGAAACGGGGGCGAGATCGAGACGATTTGGGTGCCGGGATTTTCGGTTTAAACAAAAATAAACAATGACAGAAGAGTTTGGAAGAGACTCCCAGCTCCTCTGTGGACACGTTGACATGTTTTTATTCTGAATTTAAATAATTTCAAGTAGAGCTGCTCGATGATGGAAAAAAATCATTATCAGGATTATTTTGGTCAATATTAACTTTTTTTTTTGTTTATTTTCTTCGGTCAATTTACATAATCATACATCATATTTCAATGATTTAACATAAAAAAGTTATGCAGTTTATGCAGATCACTAAGGTTATTCTACAGACCCAAGAGGTTTAGGCTGAAGTTTAACAATTGTTTTGCCAAAACTTTTTTAACATATAGAACAGGAGACAAGACGGCAGATTTACAGAAAAAACAACACAAAACACATTTTTTAATTAATGAGTGCAGGAAAGGTCTTGTCCCGGCCTCAGTCCCGGTCTCAGTCAAGGTCAATGTCCCGGTCTGGTCCCGATCTCAGTCCTGGTCCCGGTCTCAGTCCCGGTCTGGTCCTGGTCCTGGTCTCAGTCCCGGTCTGGTCCCGGACATGGTTCAGTCCGACATCGCAGTTTAAGTCACGTAAAGTCACGTTGTTATCCGTTTTTTCCATTTTTCATTTAAACACAAAATCAAAAACTGAAAAACAGAATCATTATCTGTTCTTTCATTTTGGTTTTGGAGACAAATAATGAAGAAAATAATTTATTAATTATTTATCTTTTTTTGGTTTTATATTAAAAAAAATAATGAACAAATGATATATTCTCTAAATCTTGTAGTGTACACACACACACACAGAACACAATCCAATATACGTTGATGTTCACACACACACACACACACACATACACAGACCATGTACATGTTAATATTTATACCTACTGGTTTATAATCACACTTAAATATATAAATATAATTGAGGGTTACAGTTATTCTGCCGGTTCCATGGGGTAAAATATGATTTATCGTATTTCTCTATATTTCTCTAGAATTAATAATTATATATATATTTTAAATGTGTAAATTGTTTTAGACCCTTTTAAAGTTTGATTGTTCCACACACTAATCCAAACACAAATACAATCACTTTTTTTTTTTTTTTTTTTTAGTTCTTATCTTCATTTGTTAAAGATGCCAGTTTAGTTTTTGCGTTTATGGTCATAGAAACTAATAATAATAATCTTATTGTAGGCACAAAATTATTCATATAATTTATGATCGTACCAAAATAAAAGGTAATGTTGAAGAAAATGTTAAAGAAAATGTTAAAGAAAAGCTTGTGTTTATTAGTTCATAGTCGTGGGTTTTACTCGTCAGTGGATCTGGTCTTGTAAACGTTTCTGTAAGATTTGGTTTGTATATTGTTTTTTTGAAGTGCACCAAATTCGTACAACTTCAGATTTGGTCTTTTAAGATATTCCAGAAATAACACACAAGTTTTTGAGAGTGGAAATGGAGTGGAGAGTGGAGTGAAAAACAATGAGAATGTATTTAATTCATATAGAGCTTTTTTTGGACACTCAAAAAGGCTTTTCAGTCTTTTTTTTATTCCCTCCACTTATTTTAAGACTCTTGTAGCCACAGCTGCCCTGAGACAAACTGACAGAAGTGAGACTGTGACCACTGACCAATCCAATCTAGGGGTGTGCAAAAATATCAGAATATCGCTATATCGTTTAATGTGATGATACAGTATCGATATCGTGGGCTGTTGTATCGATATTTCACCAAGAGGATTTTTAGGTGTGTTTTACTAAATTATTTTGTTACAGCTACAGTTTTGTTGCTTGTGGAGTGAAAGGAAACTCATTTATGCGACACATTTGACATTTTTACTGTTTTGATGATTAAAATGTTTGTGTTTCATATGAACTTTGCACAAGAAGAAGTGGTTTAACAAAGACTTTAGTATCACAGACACGATTTAGCCTTTATTTTTTTATTGAACTGTATCGAATCCATTTGAAATATATCATATCGAATCGAAAGTGCACTGTATCGAGGTGTGTATCGTATCGGCAACTTCTTAATGATACCAGCCCAACTCCAATCACCACCAACACTCACACCACATTCATACAAACAGACAAAGTAGGTGAAGTGTCTTGCCAAAGGGCCACTGGCGCCTCACTGCGGTCTCTCACGTCCAGACAGTAACCAGGCCCAGAAAGAGTCTGATTAAATTATACAGATAATATCTTTGGCTGAAAATCTAATTTATTTATGGAGCACATTTAAAACGACCAAACTTGACCAAAGTGCTGAACAACAATAATTCAAGAATGTGTAAATATTAAAAATAAATGAAGTTTTCTGTCAGAACACAAATGTCTCAGGAGTATTGTTTTTGTATTTTATTTTGTATTCTTGATATATTCTCTTTAAATAATGTTGTCGTTTGTTGTCCCTGCAGGCCCAGTCCCAGAGCCAGCACCCGCCGCCCCTGTCCCTGCAGCTGCCCCCCCAGGCCGTCCTGCCCCAGCCCGTGCTCCCTCAGCCGCCCCTCCAGCCCCAGCAGGGCCCGCGCCTGCCGCCCCGCCAGCCCTCCACCGGCTCCCCCGCCGAGAGCCCCGAGGACTCCGAGGGCTCCAGGGCCTCCAACAAGCCGCGCTCGTCCGGGGCCAAGATCTCCCTGGAGGCCCTGGGCATCCTCCAGAGCTTCATCCAGGACGTGGGGCTGTACCCGGACGAGGAGGCCGTGCACACCCTCTCCGCCCAGCTCGACCTGCCCAAGCTCACCATCATCAAGTTCTTCCAAAATCAGCAGTTCTACGTCAACCAGCCCACCAACCACAAGGGGGCGGCGTCCGGCAAAGAGCCCCGCCCCCACAGCACCAGCAGCAGCGCCGGCTCCAGCCCCGCCCTGGAGGAGGAGCTGACGGACTTCAGGGAGGTGAAGGAGCTGGACGAGAGCACCCAGACCGACCACAGCAACGTGTTCAGCGTGAAGATGGAGGAGGGGCGGGGGAGCGAGGGCCAGCCGGAGAGCGAGCACAGCCCCGAGTAGAACCCGCGGGTCACCGGAGCAGAGCGGGTCAGTGCGGGAAACATCTGACCAGAAGATGTTTAGATCTGTATCGGCAAAGCACTTACGTTTAAAACATGTTTCATACAGAGACAATGAAGCAAAAAGCACTGGAGCGACGAGAGTTTGACTGTAGCAGACGCACGGACGCCGGCCTGACCTGAGCTGACCTGAGCTGACCTGAGCTCCCGTGGGACCAGAGCAGGAGCACAGACACTGGGGCCTCCTGTAGTATTGTGTATTATGCCTGTACAGACTGAAGCTCACGAAACACTGCACCACGTCATGCTGTGGATGTCCCCCTTTTACACTGACGCTTCACTTTTTCACACACTGAGTTCACCGATTCTACTGATTTCACTGATTCTACTGATTTCACTGATTCTACTGAGTTCACTGATTCTACTGAGTTCACCGATTCTACTGATTCCACAGTCCTGCACTTTGTCGGGGCGGCCATATGTGTTTGTGATGTCCAACCAGACTTTTTTAAAACAGAAAATGAATTCAAAAGGACCGAGTAGTTGACCAGGCCTTAATCATGAGGTAAATGTGGAGCCTGCTGGATCACCGTGGACAGCTCACTCTTTACATGTTTGTTAGGAAAGAAATATAAATATATATAAATACTTATAAATATAGACATATATTGTAACTGTAAAATACAGTCTTAAAGAAACTATGCCAACAAATGCCTTGTACTATACGGCACTGCCGAGGTTACATTCTTTTGCAAAACCTTTGTCACTGTAACTTTACAGCAGCTTATGGAGACTGGTGGAAACGCACATCCAGAATGAGAATAAAGAAGTCCGCCCAGCGCACACAGGGGACAGGGAGATGTTCAATCAGTCACAAACCGTCTTTTCTGTGGATGAACCGAGGATAAGGCCATGTGCACTCGCCTGACGACAGGTGAAAAGGTCCAACGTAAACTCAGATTCACTCACTGCGGTTACATGCACAGAGAACAATCACACGCCCATCATCTTCAAACAAACGCTCTCAGACGCTTGTCCCGGTCTGCAGCAGGTCCAGTTTACAGTAGGTCCAGTCTAGAGCAGGTCCAGTCTAGAGCAGGTCCAGTCTAGAGCAGGTCCAGGTCTAACAGCAGATCCAGTCTGTAGATGGTCCAGTCTACAGCAGGTCCAAAGTCAAATCATCTCCACACAAAAGCTCTCAGACTCTTGTCGTGACCTACAGCAGATCCAGTCTAGAGCAGGTCCAGTCTTGAACAGGTCAAGGAACCCAGTAAGTACGACTAGGGGACTACGAGGCGTTCAAGTGCTTCTAGTTATTTAACCTTCGCTCTAAAACTTTGCAGCTATAATTATAAATAAAAACAGTTATCGAACATATAAAACGATGTATAACTTTCAGCGAAAAATGAGATAAACAACATCTCATCACGTTGAGAATTAGATCTTCAGACGAGCTACGAACTCTGTTACTCACAAGTTCTTCACAACACAAATGAACACGAAGCTCCAGAAGCTTTGACTTTTTACTTTACTTTTTTAAAACATAGCGTCCAAAACAACGAACTGAAACCAAATTTAAGATCTAAACACTTAAATCTATCAGAAAATTCATTTTACTTGACGAGTTATCTCAAAATAAACGACCTCTAGACTAGAATTAAACGTCTCAGAACTAGTAAGTAGTGAATAAATCTGAAAAAATTTAATGTATGTCTAATATTTTCCGGACGATTTCTTACGTTGTGCAGTTGAACGCCTCTCCTAGTCCGAGTCTAACGTAAATCCGACTTTGCTGTGACTTGCTGCCGGTGTCTCCGAGTTCTACAAACTTCTCCAGACGCTTTTGAAAGCCGCTTCACGACATCACAATCAGATCTGAAAGTTTATAAAGTTTGGTTTAAATTGGACGAGGCCTGTTTCCCCGTTTCCCGTGTTTTTTCTCGGTGTGCATGTAAACGTAGTGAGCGTTAAACCGGCGAGCTTCGAGGACGTACAATCAGATCTCAGACTATTACTATGCAAAACCACCACACAGACACCGCACGATGGACCCGATGCAACGTTACCACAGATTTTTATGGCACAGCGCCGGGCAGCCTCATCTTATTTTACGATAATATCCCTCTGTCCATGTACCATGAACCGTAGACTGTAAATAGAAATGGACGAAGCGAAAACGCAAAACCGCGAATCTGATTCTAATTCACGTTTAATTGGAAAAAACGTCGCTTTCTCTGTAACTGCTCCTGTCAAATCTGTGTGTCGTTCGTTTATTCGTTTTTCAAAATAAAACCAAAAATAAGAAAATGAAAAAACAACAATTTTCTTTATTATTTGCCTCCAAAACCAAAATGAAAAAACGAATAACGATTCATTTTTTTCAGTTTTTCAGAATTTGTGTTTAAATGAAAAATGGAAAAAACAGACATTTCCTGTTTACGTGACTTAAACTGCGATGTCGGACTGAACCAGGACTAAACCAGGACTAAACTGTTTCAGTCCTGGTCTGATCCCGGTGTCAGTCCCGTTCTGGTCTGTTCCTGGACTGGTTCTGGTCTGGTCCCGGTCTGGTCCCAGTCTCAATCACGGTCTCAATCACGGTCTGGTCCTGATCTGGTCTCGACCTCAGTCCCGGTCTCAGTCCTGATCTCAATCACGGTCTGGTCCCGGTTTCAGTCCGGTCAGTCCGGTCTGGTCCCGGTTTCAGTCCCGGGCTGGTCCTGGCCTCAGTCCCGGTCTGGTCCCGGTCTCAGTCCTGGTCTGGTCCCGGTCTGGTCCTGGACCTGGTTCAGACCTGGTTCAGTCTGACTTTGCAGTTTAAGTTTTTTTTTTTTTTTTTTTTTTCCCATTATTCATTTAAACACAAAATTGAAAAATGAAAAAACAAATCATTATCTTTTTTTTTTTTATTATTTTGGAGACAAATAATGAGGAAAATTGTTGTTTTTTTTTCATTTTCTTATTTTAGTTTTATTTTGAAAAACAAATGAACAAATGATACACAGATTCTACACAATCCCAGGGTTTTTATTTTGCAAAATTGTCGGTAAATCAAAATACGAACGTTAATAACCGACAAATTAGATGCTTTCTTTCACCGATGTCGCTCCCGTTCGCATTTCCAACTATTTTGATTGATAGTGTTGCTAAAAAAAGAAGCATTACCGTCAAAATTTTCATCAAAATATGAAAATCGGCTCCAAATTTGCTTCTTTAACCTCGAGCCGCGATAAGCTTCATTTGACTGGAGCCGAACGTTGCGGGTGACGTCACTTTCACTTTCACTTTCCGCTTCTTTGTACAGTCTATTCTTGTAATTTACTCTCATTGGAAGAAAGTCCTGCTGTCCGAGTTCGATTTTCAAACATTTTTATTTAGTTTAAAGCGGAATTAAACACCAAATCAATTTTTTTTTTATGACTAAACTGTGGATACGGTGTTTTAACGGCGTCGTCCGCTGTTCCTGGGGCTTTTGTTTTGGCTGTTGTAGAGTAAACTAGATGCATTTGGAGTTTGTGTGTGCTGCTGCTTTTAGTGGCTACCGCAATTTCAAGTACTACATGACATCACACAAGACTGTCCTAGTGTTTGTAATCGAATCAAAACACCGGGATGAAGGGGCGGAGTTTGACATGAGGATAGTTGTTGGACCAATCGCAATGTTCCGTACACGTCCACGAATCTAAAACACATTTTAGACGGTGAACTGGCCTTTTGCAGCGTTTTTTAATTCTCTGTGAACTCAGTCGGATCTTGGATGAAGCGTTTCTCGCGTTTCGTTTGTCCGACAATGGAGAAAAACGTCGACAATCCGTGTGTCGTTCGTTCATTCGTTTTTCAAAATAAAAACAAAAATAAGAAAATTAAAATAAAAACAACTATTTTCGTCATTATTTGTCTCCAAAACCAAAATAAAAATAAAAACAAAACTGATGATTAGTTTTTTCAGTTTTCGATTTTGTGTTAAAATGAAAAGTGGAAAAAACAGATAACGGCCGTTTCCTGTTTCATCCTTTTTTGACGATGGAGCTAAAATAAAAACTGGAGATGCAGGAGCTTTTTGAACCCGTGTAATATTCGTTCGTTCGTTTTTCAACATAAAACCAATAATTTAAAAAATGAAAAACAACAACTATTTTCTTCATTATTCGTCTCCAAAATCAAAATGAAAAAAAAAAAAAAAAGACAGATGACAATTTGTTTTTTCAGTTTTTGATTTTGTGTTTAAAGGAACAAAGGAAAAAAAAAAGATAACGACCTTGTCCCGTTTCCGTGACTTAAACTGCGATACCGGACCAACCGGGACTAAACCAGGACTAAACCATTTTCTGTCCCGGTCTCTGTCCCGGTCTGGTTCAGTCCTGGTTCAGTCCAGCATCTCAGTTTAAGTCACGGAAACGGAAAACGGTTGTTATCCGTTTTTTTTTTTTTTTTCCATTATTCCTTTAGACATAAAATTGAAAACTATAAAAACGAATCAGAGACAAATTTATTTGGAGACAAATAATGAAGAAATGTGTTGTTTTTTCATTTTCTTATTTTTGGTTTTATTTTGAAAAATGAATGAATAAATGACACATGGATGTTTTTGGTTTGGTCCTGGTTTAGACACTCGTCATGTGACTCACGTTTCAGACATTTTTATGTTACTGCGTGGACAGGATTGCGGACGCAGAAACGACGTGTCTGGACGCAAATCCTTTCCGATACGCTGATTCGTTTCAGCGTAAACTTAACCTTGGATTCTGTCTCCGAATCCCTGCTCCTCCGAGTTGTTCCGAGCGAGGAAAAGATTTTGTGGAGTTATAAGGAACGCCGCGATTGGTCTAACAGGTTTCCACGCTTCAAACTTCGCCCCTGCATCGAGGTTTTTGCATCAGAAACATCCAACTGTAATCAGGGCAGTCTTACGTGATGTCACATAGTACTTGAAACCGCAGATTTACCCGTTTTTTTGGACCAGAACGCTGCGAATTTCCACTAAAAAACCTCAAATCAAAACCACTAGGAACAGTCCGAAACGCTTTAAAAAAAAACACCGTACGCGCAGTCGAGTCGCCGCGGGAAAAAAAAAAAAGCGTATTCCGCGTTTCGTTACATTTCCCCCCGCGCTCTGCCTCGTTTCAAACTCCCGAGAGTCTTTATTCTCAGCCTGGCCGTGCAGACCGGGGCTCCGACTCCTCTAAATGTGAATCCACTATGTCCCCTTGTGTTATTTATTTATGACGCTTCCATGCAGTGTTTCCAGTGTAATTACCTTTTGAAAAATAATATGACTTCTTCTTCTTCTTCTTCTTCTTCTTCTTCGGATGATTATTATTATTATTATTATTACACCATCGCGCTTTTCGAATCCACTTTTGAATCCTTTTTTGTTTTTTTTTTTTTTGTTCCTATTTATACATTTTGATGGGCAGTAAAAACAAAAAGTGTCTTAAACGTTTTCAATGGACTGCTTTAAGAGTTGCCTATATTACTAAAAAAAAAAAAAAGTGCTGTATCTATGTCGAGACGCTACTTGCTTCATTATGTCGTATGCAATCTTTCCTATCATGCAAATAAGCTTAGGTACAAGGACCACTAGGCTAAACGGAGGGGTGACATATGCAAATCTGAGTAGTGGGGAACGCGGTCTTCCTTTTCCGGGGTCACCGAGGGACAGCCCTGTAAAGACAAAACGTGTACAAATGTGTTTTTTTATCATTTCAAACCAGAACTCCTGTTATTTTGTTACGACTGACTGTTTTTCTAAGTGTTCCATGGGAGTGCTTTGTATCGTCAGCGAATCTTTTGGCATTAAACAATGTGAAGGCGGGCGGAGGTCGGGGGAGGGTCACAGTGTTTGTACTGACCTGTAAATAGCACATCATATCAGTGATTGTTTATTGTAAATACATTTGAACTTTGTGAAAGAGCTGGTGTGCGGCGTGGACTCTTATTCACACAAAAAACACACGCAAAACACGCATAAAAACACACAAGAAATGTAAAAAGTGTTGAGCTGATGACAGTTTTTTGGGTCTGATTCAAGCCGTGTGTCGTACGGTCATTCGTTTTTCAAAATAAAATCAAAAATAATAATGGAAAAACAATTTTCTTCATTATTTGTCTCCAAAACCAAAATGAAAAAAAAAAAAAACAGATAATGATTAATTTTTTCAGTTTTCGATTTTGTGTTTAAATGAAAAATGGGAAAAAAACAGATAACGGCCGTTAAAGTGACTTAAACTGCAACACTGGACTAAACCAGGACTAAACCAGGACTGAACCAGGACTAATCCAGGACTAAACCATTTTCAGTCCAGTTCTGGTTTGTTCTTGGTCTGGTCCCGGGCTCTGTCCCGGGCTCAGTCACGGTCTGGTCCTGGTCTGGTCTACAGCGTCAGGCCTGGTCTCAGTCCTGGTCTTGGTCCCAGACACAGTCCTGGTCTCATTTCTGGTCTGGTCCTGGTCTATGTTCTGGTCTTGGTCCCAGACTCAGTCCTGGTCTCAGTTCTGGTCTGGTCCCGGTCTGGTCTCGGTCTAGTCCCGGTCTCAGTCCCGGTCCCAGTCCCGGTCTCAGTCTCAGTCCTGGTCCCAGTCTCAGGCCTGGTCTAGTCCTGGTCCTGGTCCCGGTCCCGGTCTGGTCCTGGTCCCAGTCCCAGTCTCAGTCTCAGTCCTGGTCCCAGTCTCAGGCCTGGTCTAGTCCTGGTCCTGGTCCCGGTCCCGGTCTGGTCCTGGTCTGGTCCCGGAGTTGGTTTTGAACTTTGTGAAAGAGCTGGTGTGCGGCGTGGACTCTTATCCACACAAAAACACACAAAAAACACAAAAAACACACAAAAAACACACAAAAAACATACAAAAAAATACACACGAAATGTAAAAAGTGTTGATCTGATGACAGTTTTTTGGGTCTGATTTGTTTCGATATAATCCGTGTGTCATTCGGCCATTTGTTTTTCAAAATAAAATAAAAAATAATCATGGAAAAACAACAATTTTCTTCATTATTTGTCTCCAAAACCAAAATTTAAAAAAAGGATAATGATTCGATTTTGTGTTTAAATGAAAAATGGAAAAAGCGAAAACGACCGTTTAACCATTTCCGTGACCAGGACTAAAACAGGACTAAACCAGGACTAAAGTGTTTTCAGTCCTGATCTGGTCCCAGTCTCAGTCCTGGCCTCAGTCCCGGTCTCAATCACAGTCTGGTCCTGATTTGGTCCCGGTTTCAGGTCCCGGTCTCAGTCCTGGTTTTGGTCCCAGACTGAGTTCTGGTCTCAGTCCCGGTCTGGTCCCAGATCTGGTTTAGTCCTGGTTCAGTCTGTTATCTGTTATTTTTCCATTTTTCATTTAAACACAAAATCGAAAACTGAAAAAACGAATCGTCATCTGTTTTCTAACATTTTGGTTTTGGAGACAAATAACGAAGAAAATAGTTTTTTTTTTTTTTTTTCATTTTCTTATTTTTGGTTTTATTTTGAAAAACAAATGAATGAATGATACACGGATTTGATACTTGAGTCACTATTTTTTAGGACTTGAGACTTGACTTGATAAAATGGACTAAGACTTGGGACTCGACTCGGACTTGAAGCTCAGTGACTTGAGAAAACCTGATGCTTCTCCTAAAAAATCTGTTTTTAGAAAATATTTTTCTCTTTACAGTTGATAAATGTG